ACAAAGCGGAGTCCAGCCCGGGGTCGTCACATGTGGTTGCCGCAAGCCCTCCGGACGCTCATTCGTCGAATCCGCCGCCTCTGCTCACTCTAGCCCTCCGGCCATTCTACACGTTATCCCCCGGCCTCTGCTCACTCTAGGCCGCTGTGTGTCATGCTGTGTTTCGTTGTGAAAGTGAAACTACTTTGTTTGGCCTTATCGCTCCGGCCGGACAGGGCATCATCACAATATGGTAAGGGGCGTAACATTTCCGTCACACGCTTGAGGTATTCGGCCAATCACAATGCACTGGATAGCTGGCCAATCACAGCACACCTCGCTTTTTCAGACCGATGAGCTTTGTAAAAATCAACACGTTTCAGAAAGGTGGGGCATAGAGGAAAACAATAATGTACAGTATGTGGAAAATAATGTGTTTTTTGAACCTTAAACCGCATAAACACATTTCATTACACCAAATACACAAAATAATGTTATTTTTAGCAGCATTATATGACCCCTTTAACTCTAATAACACTACAAATGCATGTGTCTGAAACGGATTTGAAGTGTAATTGGCAACTTTATTTTTCAGGATGCATTTCTGTTTTAGAAATGAGGACGCCACAAATATCTTCATTCCAACTTCAGTCTGCAAAAGACAAAAATAAAGAAAAAACAACATTTAACAAGCACTGGTGTGAGGCACGTGGAAATAATAGAAAACTCATAGAAATGTCCTTTAGATGTGGGCACTACATTTTTAAGAAATAAAAATTAAAATGGAAATATAAAAAATACTAATTAAAACTGTAACAGTATCTTAATAATATTAAAGTAACACTGGTTTGTTATATATAAAATCTAAATAAACTTTTTAATAAAATTTGATCAAACTAATTTAAAGATTCTACAGCCCTTACAGCTGCATAATACTGACACTTTATATTTACTTGTAGAAAAGTAGTACATTAATGTAGTAGCACACTAATGTGACAGATCATGCTGTGCAGTAGATACTAAACGTATTTAGTGATGCTGTGACAATCTGAAAATCTTGAAAAAGAATATCTTGATCTATACTCACTCATAGGTGGGGGCGCTGGCAGTGGCTCTGATGATCATGTAGCAAAGTGTGAGAGCAGAGAGGACGCCGAAGCTGGCAACAATAAACCACTCTTCTGTTAACAGAGTAAAAGGGGGAGGGGTCATTTTCTGTTGAGGGCGGGGCCTGGGTATCATCTCGACAGAGAGCCGAAGAGAAGAGGAAACTGGCGACAGGTGGAGGCGTGAAGAAAAGAGGTATACTTCTCTAATCCATGGAACAGTAGAGGAAACCATAGGCAAGCGATGATCGCAAACAAGACAGATAAAACACGAGAGCGAAACTGAACGTAGCACACTCAGAGCACATGACACTTAGTGCTGGTTTAGCCATACATTTACAAAGCAGAGAGGGTTTTGCATCTGTTAGGAAGACCATGTCATTAGAAGATGCATCAATAATTATTCCACATAGAGTTTTTTTAAAAGCAATAAAAAAGGCAAAATTTTTACAGAATTTAGAGACAAGAAATTGTTAAACAGAGACCACTACGATTTCAGAAACAACCAAAACCCTTCTTTAAAACCATAAATAAATTGCAGAGCTGTTCAAGCAGATACACCTGCTTGGGGTTCTTTAATATAATTAATCACTGCAATACAAACGCAAACCAACAGGAGGGGTTAAAATTGCTGAACATAATATTTTAAAGACATAGCATCAGGACAAATGGTTGGTAAATAATAAATTATCCCACAAACGTGTAATTACCTTACATCTGTTTCTGCAACAAAGGTATGTAGTTCCTCGAGCATTTACTTATTTTACTTGCATGCAGTTTTCTGTTCTTTAGTTTAGTTTCATTGCACTCAACATGTGAGCTACTGCTCTGCATAACCTAATTAAAAATTCTGGCACAACCTAAACAATAAAATGACTTCAGAAAGAAAGCAAACGAGTGGGTGTCTGTTATTAAAAGCCAACTTGAGCAAAGCTGAGTCACAGGTTAAATAAAATAAAATAAAATAAAACCCTCTGATATGTTGGTATGCATTTTGTCTGAAATCTTTCCAAGTGTACCTTAAACTTTTTTAACATGCAAGAGAAGACAAGAGGAAAAGATATAATATGGAATATGAAGGGTGAATATGATGCCACCATATACGTACATATATTTTGTTTTTGATGAAGGTCTAAAGTTGTTACTATAGGTGGCTTGTTTGTGTAGCAAAACAATCAAATTTAAAAATTTGCCAATATTAATTTTCAAATATTATTTTACAACACATGGCATGGAATGTACATTTCAATCACTACATACAGCAACCACAACGAGAGATATAAGAAATAAAAAGGGGAAAACAGCAGTGGCTGATAGAAAAAAAGTGCATTCTATCACCTGGATTAGCCATTATGTCAAATAGAAAATGCAAGTATCATAAAAACAAATGTGTAACACAGAGATTAAAATAAACTGCTTAACTCTTTTAAAAAAAAAAGAAAAAAAACATGAATACAAGATAAAATAGTATTATTTTAAATAAAAATAAAATAAATAAAAAAATATATTATAAAATTGTATTTTATAAAATAAAATAGGCCCACTTAAGTCAAAAGGAAATTTCTTTGTTAAAATGTGTTTGAACTGTTTTTTATAAAAACGTGCATTATTACAACTAAAATATTAAAAACGCACGCTATACAGGCTGAATTCCTCCATCACTTCCTCTCTCTCTTTTATTAAACAACAGTGGGAGTTGGATCTCTGCCTCACATTTGATGACGAGACTTGGAACCAGATCCTGTCCCGTTGTTCATACCTCCTCTATTTGTGCACGTCATAGTCTTATCCAATTAAAATTTATTCACCGAATGTACTGGACAAAAGTGAGGTTGGCAAAAATCAAGCCTGGTATTGACCCTCTCTGTGATCGTTGCCATCAGGCCCCTGCGGATTTAATACATATGTTTCAGCTATGTCCATCCATTACTACTTTTTGGCTATCAATCTTTAATTGCTTTTCTTTAGTGACAAAGAAACAGATCGAGCCTTGCCCTTCTCAGATCTGTAATAATTCAGGCAATCCATCCCATTTAAACAGCAGGGATTGATGTTATTTTCAAGAACATAAATCATTATAAAATCATAACAACAACAAATCAAATAAGAGCCATTGGAATGTCACAACCTGCTGCCCTCCGAGATCTATGTGTCGGTTGTTTTTGTAATAAATTTAAGTCAGTGTGTGTTCACATAGCTGTACTTTGGGGAAAATTGTTCCCAGAATATAGCTATACAGTAAATGTGACAAAACATCTCTTCAGGGACGTCTGCAAAAATAATAATAATAATAATGATAATAAAAATAATAAAATAAAATAAAACAAAAATATTATACAAAGTGAATCATTTTCTAAAAATGCAGGTTTTCTTTTACAGGGATGGTTGTTTAGATAGGTCTATAGTAATTAGAATTATCTTAATATAATTACTATTAATTATTTAAATAATAAATCATTAATATTTAAACGTGTGTGTGTGTGTGGTCCTGGTATTCCCTACATTATGGGGACCAGTAAATTTTGACCTTGTGGGAAAATGTTTTGATCCCTATAAGGTTATAAATCATACAGAACAATCTTTTTTTGAAAATCTAAAACTGCAGAAAGTTTTGCGTGCAGTGTGTACAGTATAAAAACCATGAATTCTATTACATCCCCATAAAACATGGAAACCCAACACGTACGTACGTGCGTGCGTGCGTGCGTGCGTGCGTGCGTGCGTGTATGTGTGTGAGCTCACCATAATTCCCAGAGCTTTGAGGATGTTGAGTTTACACATCGGACAGGTGCAGTGCTCATTTAGCCACGGATCCACACACATTTTATGGAAGACGTGCCTGAAGAGAAAGAAAAACATTTTCATAGCCATAAATAAAGCACTTATGCATGTTATAATCATCCGTTTACTTTGTGTACATTTAAAGTGTTATACATTTGGTTGCAACACCATAAATATTAATGAAATGTTTCTAATCATTCTATTTCTATTATAACGATGTAAGACCATGAGATGCAGCATCAAGCCTTTGATATCACCATACCTCGATAAATATTTGAAACTGCTCTAAGAACACTGGTGCAAGAAGGACATTACATGTAAAAGCACATTACACATTTATATTACATCCAGAGAGAGGAGAGAGTGAGATTGGAAGATTAAAAGCAAGAAGCTGGTGGACTTCAAAGGAGCAACATGAGCTTTCACAGAGAGCTTTTGAGTCTCTTTCTCCTCCTCCTCATATCCGGCTGCCGCACAATCTGAGCTGTGTTTACTCCAGGAAAGACCCTGGGCTCTCGATAGCGGAAACCCTCTTCATGAGGGAGATTCTCGGCACAAGACAGCCATTGAGGCTCATGCTAGAGACAAGGTCGCCATTGAGGCTCTGAAGATTGTGAAGAATCTTTATCACTGCATCAAATTTATATTTAAAAATTAATCCTAATGTATTTTAGTAAATGCACACAAAGTTTTGAAACAACTCATTAAAACGGACTGTTACAGAAGTGCATCGAACTAAGTCTAACACTATTTTTGTTTTCGGAGTCTTTAGGAAATGTAACGCCCAAATAAAAATACATCAAATACACAACCATTTGAAGTTTCTATTAATCAAAGAATCTTAAAATATGCATAATGGTTTCCACAATAATATTAAGCAGCACAGCTGTTTTCAACATTGGTAATAAGAAATGGTTCTTGAGCATCAAATCATCATATTAGAGTGATTTCTGAAGGATCATGTGACACTGAATGTAATGTCTAATGAGTAATGGCTGCTGAAAATTCAGCTTTGTCATCACAGGAATAAATTACATATCGAAATACATTAAAATATAAAACAGCTACTTTAAATTGTAATAATAGTTCACAATATTACTGTTTGTACTATACTTCTGAACAAATCAATGCAGCCTGGGTGAGCTTAAGAGGCTTTAAAAAAAAAAATACAACTTAAAAATCAATGCAAATATATTCAATATATCACTCATCCCTACTGCATTCAGCCCAGCAGCCTCAAACACAGCAAAAGGGGGCCCAAAACCACATTTTAAAACCCCTCAAGTGAGTATGCTATAAGTTCCCAAAGGAATAAAGGCAGGTTCCTCAGCTAAGAAGTGTTTCGAGAAAGATTTGAATACAACCTGAACAGAACTACTGGGCAAGAGAGTTTGTGGAATACAGCTGCAGCAATACATTTCAGAGGGGTTATCTAAGGATGTTAAATAATGCTAAGTGCCAATGACACTGTGATTTATGGGTGCTAAAAGGACGTATGCTTCTGAAATGATCCTGTACTGAAGCAACATGCAGACAAACTCCAACAAAGCTTTATTTGCTTGGATGGAGAACATGCAAACAAGGGTCAAATTAATTAATGATGAGGGTGCTTACAACACAAAGGATACATAAAGAGATGCATACCACCAAAATAAGACAGACCAGCTCTGTGTGTGGTGTGGACCCACTCTTTATGATCTGTATTATTTTACAATTACCATAGCACATGCATATTTAAATACAAATTTCAGTCCACCATGACAAAACAGTAAGTCATATCCATTAAATGAAGGGCACACCCCTAAGAAAGTTAAAGCGAAGCTAATGCACAGGGACGTAAATTGAATGGCCATGGCTAGGTCAAGTGTGCTGCCATTACTTGTGCTATAAGTTATTGATTGCGGCTGGAGATGCTTAAGCTTAAGAGAGCAGAGATACTCACCTTAAGAAGAGATAACCATAAGATAAGAACAGATGACAACCATCTCCACACACACACACACTAAAAAGTTTAGGGTCTTTACTCTTCAGTGTCTTCTTCAATGTCACATGATCAATCAGAAATCATTCTAATATGCTGATTTGTGCTCAAGAAATATTTCTTATTATTATCAAGGCAGAAAACAGTTGCTTAATGCTGCTTGATATTTTTTGTGGAAACCGTGACACTTTTTTAAAGGATTCTGTGATTAATAGAAAGTTCAAAAGAACAGCATATATTTGAAATAAATGTTTTGTAACATTACAAATTACTTTACTGTGTCTTTTGATCCATTTGATTGAATAAATATAAATATACATTTCTTTAAAAAATCTAAACATGTTATTCCAATGAAAATAAAATTGTTTTTTATAAACTTTTATCAAAATGTAGTAATAATCTAACCAATAGCACACTGGCAGGAAGAACTAATATTAACCCATAATATTAATGCTTCTCTTCATGATCCAGTGATCTTGATTGTTAAAATCTTGCACTATATGTATATCGTGAATATTTCTACTTTTTTTTTTTTAAGAAATAAACTATATGATCAAAAAATAAGTAGACACCTCTTTACGACAAATTGGTTTAGCTATTCCAGTTATTCCAGTTCAAATCTCCAAACAGATCTTAATTTTACAGCATAGAATGACATAACTGTATGACAACTCTATGGTAACATTGGGTAGGGCCTTTTCTATCCCAGCATGACAATAAACCTGGTGCACAAAGCAAGTTCCATAGAAAAAGTTTGGAAGAACTTGCCTAGTTAAACCTTAAACCCCTATTGAACAGCTTTGGGATGAATTGAAATCGGTTATGAATCATTCAACGTCACTGCCTGTCCTTATGGAGGTCATGCATTTGGATTATGTATTTAAACTTTTTTTTTTTTTGGAATTTGCTTCCTTCTTTTAATTGAACACCTTTTTGCAGATCCCTCAGAGCTAAACTAGCTGTGAATATCTAATGCTGAACAGTAAATATGATAAATATAATGAAATCAAAGATAAGTGTCTGTTTTCTTTCCTGTGTTGACATCAAGTCTTCAAACAGGAAATTACAGCAGCCAATATTTTTAATGTCCAAAATTTTTAATAGCCAATGGGCTCTCATTTATATATTTTGCCACATTTTGGGAGTGTGTTACCATATACATGGCATGAAATGCAACATTTATGGAATAAAAGTTGAATTTCATGGGGTCTACAATGCTTGGTACTTTAAGACCTGGATGGTCATCCAACCGTTTCTCACGATGTCTAAGAGTTTCAGACTGGTTTGTTGCTGGATGCCAGCAGCTGTCTGAGGCAGCACAGGCTGCAGCTCACGAGTGTGTTATTTGATCTGACTGGAGTGAAGCAGTGATTCAGCCGTAAGCAGAGAACAATGCAATTAACCTGGCTCTGGATTAGTGCTTCATCGCTGCTGTACAGTTGTAGAGACAGAAAGAGGGAGCGAAAGAGATAATAAGGATAGAGCGTGAGTGGGTGTGGATGAAAAGAGAAAAATATCAATGCTAGTAGATATCATGGAGAGATGACTGATACTGTACTTGAGATAGCTCACCAATTTGTATTTATTTATTTTTCATTTTTTAAATCATTTACTCATTCCAAACCTGTATGACTGACTTTCTAGCATCAAACGCAAAAGGAGATATTTTGCAGAATGTCCAAGACATTTCATAAAATGAAAGAGCAGAAAGTCATACAGGTCTGGAACAACATGATGGTGAGTAAATGACAAAATTTTCATCTACTTTAAAAGGAAGCACCTAAATTCCTAAAAACATTAGCAACAAAGATATGTATGTCAAAAAGAGGAAGGAATAATCGTTAAAAAACTGGTGAGTTACTGCACGCAGCAGATCACAGTGTATCTATATAAGCATTTATAGCATGTGAACATGTACAGTATGCGTGTTTGGTGTAAGATGATCCACAAAATTAACAGCTAGACTTCCAGCTGTGTGACCGGGTCATACTCGGCAGATGGTGTCTGAAACTGTAGGAAAGGGCATGTTAGTGTGTTTGTGTGTGCATACTGTATGTCGCATCCCTTTAATATACTGTGCATGAATAGTGTGTATCTGTTTGTAAGTACAAATGCGTGTGTGTTTGTGTTTTGGCTGCCTAGAGGTCACTGGAAGCTGAGCTGCTAAAAATAAGCAGAGCGGGTTTGACAGGGCAGTGATTCACAGCAACAGCAGTGCCATATTTCCTCAACACACTCACATCTCACAACAGCAAGTGACCCCTGATCTCCCTTTCTCTCTCCAAATGTCATTTGACCATTATTCAAAGTCTGGGGTGAAAACCAAATTGCACTGGATAATGCAAAAATATTTTGCCAGCAGACAACATAAGCCAAAATGTTAAAATGGAAAAAAATATATATATATAATTTACTACCATAACGAGCAGTTTCTGTTTAAATTCTGAATAAAAACATCAAAGGGTTAGTTCACCCAAAAATGAAAATTCTGTCATTAATTACTCACCCTCGTGTTGTTCCAAACCCGTAAGACCTTCGTTCATCTTCAGAACACAAATTAAGATATTTTTGATGAAATCTGAGGGCTCTCTGACCCTGACTGTCGTGAACGCGCGTCCACAAGTGACGCAGTAGAGATGAAAATGTGGAATAAAGTCGTTATTTTTGTTTTTTTTTGCGCAAAAAACGTATTCTCGTAGCTTCGTAACATTACAGTTGAACCACTGATGTCACACGGACTACTTTGTTGATCATCTTGGTACTTTTCTGGACCTTGGGTTTGGAACAACACGAGGGTGAGTAATTAATGACAGAATTTTAATTTTTGGGTGAACTAACCCTTTAAGGATAACCTTAATATAAATTGAATTATTATTATTATTACTCTTACAATACAACAACAACAAAAGAGATTAAAAATCTATTTAAAAAAATTAAAAATGTATATTAATAGTAGTAGTAGTAGTAGTAGTAGTAGTAAAATTAAGAAATTGTGAACCAGCATTTATATATATATATATACTGTATATATATATATACATATACATATATTTTGCAGAAAATAGTGGATATTTCATTGACCTTGTTTCACAAAGCGAAACTAAATGCATATGTAAATACACAGAGACACACAAACTTACTTGCAGGGTAGGATCCGGACCACATCGTTGAGCTGATAACCTTCAATGCACACTGCACAATGATTAAAATCTGGCTCTGTTTCCTGCAAAACATGAACACACGATGAAGAATAAAGATAGCCTTTTCATTAGTCAAAATATAGCTAAAAATGTAATTTTCAACATTAGAAAGTTTCATTAGGATACAGATACAGGGTACATCAGGGCAGTTTTAGGATCATTTGCCAGTCAAACAAGAACAGGACTGTCAAGTGATCATTTTTACAGAAGCTAAGCTAAAATGCAATAAATGACCACTGACCACACATAAAGTGAAAATGCTGTCTGACAAGACACATCAATAGGCAAGATAATGTTGCTAAATTGTATTTATGTATTTTTTTTAAAACAATTACGTGCAGCTGCATTTTTGACCAATGCTACTCCACAGAAATAGAAACCAAGTGACCATTGTAAGGTTCAGCTGCTTATCACGTGTTGGATGTGACAAGCTAAGGACAAAAAAAAGGAAAACTGTTTAAGATAAATCAATATCAATACAGAAATATAACATACAGAAACACTCTTAATTTAACTCTCTTTAGGACCTTGAATCTTCCCCTACTATTTCTACTTAAGCATCACAAGCCCATTATTATTAAATATGTATGCTGGCCTTATGACACGTATCTGTGAGAAATGGGAATAAGGCAGGTGTGAAATTCTCTTGAAACTCTTGGCAATGTGCTTTGAGTACCTGCATTTCGCTCTATATTGATCTGATCTCTTGACCTCCTCGCTGCCTCGTCCTTGTATTCCTCTTGCCCAGCTATTCTCAAGTGCACCATTTAAGGTTCAGATACCACACTCATACATTTGATTATAAAGTCAAACTAATATGAAATTCTTTATTAAATAGATGAGATTAAAATGGTCTAACTACGGTATAGCAATCTGTACAGTTACAATAGCAAAGTATGTAATGTCATGTACACAGTATTGTATGCAGACTGCTGTTAACATAAGAGCACACTGCACATAATAATCTCTTTCTTAACTTCTGACAGTCCAGTCAAACAATACATCAAGGGTTTAAATGCACAATAACTGTTTTTATGTACGAGGTGATAACTAGCTGTCACTCACTTAATTAAAAATGCATGTAAATGAGGTCACCTAAAAACATGTGATCTGCATAATGAGTATAGTGTTGAATAATACAGTTAAACAATATCATTGCATAATGCACGTGGTTTACATACTACTTCAACAAATAGTAGGGCAGCAAAATATACACTGTAAGCTGTTCATTATGCAGTAAGCTAATATTTCAGCTAGTATGTTATTATGTTAAAACACGTGGCTCCTGTGACAAGAGAATACATGTGTCCTAAATATAGTGACACCAAAAATGCATAAATAGCCCTGATACAGTGCACATTTTTATCATATCAAATATCATATACACAGCCACCTGTGACTGAGAGCAATAAAATAAAATTCAATCTTATTTTATCCATAAAGCAAGCAGGAAAATGTGTAATATTCTAATTGTGTAAATGTTTTTTAGTGACACTTATTTAGACACAGTTTTACAATTCTAGGAACACTTAAATAAAAAGTAAAGATCAAAACGAGCACATAGTATTATGGGATGAAGTCATTTTGGCAAATGAAGTAGGTCATTTGGGTATTCCATGCACACCGTAAATTTGCATACTCTGCAAAGTACACTTACGGCATACTACATTCCTAGTATAAGGTATGATAGCATGCCATTCTGAACATTCAGACTGTATTTTGTGTCAAATAATTTCCTAACACGGATCCCAAAAATACTGGAATATAAATAGAATAAAAACAGAAAGTAGTGTGGAAAACATTCCATCAGTGTGGTTCTAGAAACTCATGTCAACTCTCAGAGAAAACTATAGGAAGCTGCTTGGGTAACAGTGTCTCTATCTACTTATTGCAGGGTGACTGAGCAGGAGAGAGCGATCGTTCAGCAGATTTAGTAGATACAATGTGTCAATACAGATGCTGTATTTCTCTGGCTCTGCTTTCAGTCCATCTGTCACTTGACTGACCTATGAGGGCAGTCTGAAGCGAATCTTGACACCACAGAGGAAACACTGCCTACTTATAGGAGTGACTAGTGATCTGCATTTCTTCATATACATTTTTTAAATAATACTAAGCTTCAGTGTTTTATAAGCCTTTATTATCAATTAAGAAAAGCCTAATTATGACAGTTATGACAAGATCAGCTAGTGCAGTGATGTTTATGTGTTGATATAAGCTTATTTATTATTTTATTTGATTTTTGCAATGAACAGTATTATCATTAACTAAAGCTATCAAAAATCAGAAATTCAAATAAAGCTGAAATAAAATAAAATAAAAACGTTCGATGAAAAACTTTAACTTAAACAAAAAGGAGAAATCTTAAATTCGCAACTAACTGAAATAAAGTCTTAGTACTAAAATTATTCAAACAAAAACTGAAATAAATTAAAGCTGAATAAAAAAAATAAATGACAACAGAAATAACAATATTACTAAAACAAACTAAAATAAAAAAGAAAATGTAAAAAAATCTAAACTTTCAATTCAAACTATTAATACATACTATAACAGTATGTAAATAATACTAAAATGACACTGACAATGAACATCAGCATATCATTAATTCACTTTTTAAATCCATTAACAAGTTATAGTGCTACAATAACTGCTTAAGTGGCATTCTCACCCAGTATTTAATAGGACTTCATACATTTCCTATAAGACTTAACGTTATGCAGCAACAACACTTTCAAATATTATTTATATATTATGATAGCATAAATATACCTCTAGTAGCAGGCAACGCATCACTCAGGCAGCTAACTAGACCTCCCTGGGCACGGAGCCATTTAGAAAGTGACAAAAATCCTCCTAGGTTTTATATCACACTGCCCTGCTCTTCCTGGAAGCATCTTCTCTACTCTAGATGCTATTTCCGTCACCTGGCAGTGTCCTGTCTACTCTGCATGGTCAAGGTCATGTTGTGGCGGGTGGTGTTCGGTTTCTAATGGGCCCCTCTCAGCGTGAGAGTCATCGACTGTGGTCCCTGCAGAGGGATGTGGCCGATACTCAGAGGCTTAGAGGCTTCAGCCAAGGCAGTGATGCTGTAAGGATGCATCAACGCTGGAAAATGCGTCATAACTGATCGAAAAAGTGTAGGCGATCACTTGAAAAGGAAAAGGAAAAAGGAGAGAGACCGAGAGAGAGAGGCAGCGGAAGACAGACAGATGTTCTCTCACTCAATCTCTACTGAGCATGACCTCTCAGATGAAAAGGTTTCAATTTCTTGCAGCACTTCTCCAAGGCCACTGATGTTTTATTCATGGCTGATGTGAGCTGACCTTGACTAGGCTATGAAACACACTGAGTGGCACGGCTCCACCTCTTCTCAAAACCGAACAGCTGTGAAGTCTCACGACCCTTCTTACCTCATCGCTCACCTGACAGTCATTCACCTTTACACAGGTCAATGTCTTTCTTTGGACTTTGTGGTACATTCAGCAAGATTACTTTTAGAGATGAACCTAAACTGTCTGTCACCAATATTTAACCACCAATTATTGATTAAATTAGACCTTGAGCAAAGGTTTAATATGCATTGTATTATTATACAAGCAATGATGCACTACATGCATAAATATACTGTGCATTTCTTTTTTTTAATCCTGAGATCCCTAGTTACTTTATTATAAAGAGGACAAAAAAAAGCAGTGCAGTGTTGTTTGTTTTGCTGTAAACAGAAAGATGGATTTCAACAGGTTAACCTGATCTGAGTTTGCTTTTTTATTATATTTTAAAAATGTTAAAAGCTGAATTTACAGCAGCCAGAATATATGCTGATTTAGTGCTCAAGAAACAGTCAATGTTATAAACAGTTGTGCTGCTTAATATTTTTATGGAATCTGTCATACATTTTTATGATACTTGGATGAATAGAAAGTTCAAAAAGCAGCATTTATTTGAAACAGAAATGTTTTGTAACATTATAAATGTCTTTATTGTCACTTTTGATTAATTTATGAAATCCTTGCTTAATAAAATATTAATTTCTTTAAAAAATATTATGCATTATACTATGCAAGCAATGATGAATTCACTGTGCTCTTTTTTTTTTGTTAAAACCAGTACATGCGGTGCAGTATTGTTTCTTTTGCTGTAAACGGAAACAAGGATTTAAACATTTTAACCTGCTCTGAGTTTGCTCTTTTAATATATATATAAAAAAATTTAAAAAAGTAATTTAGTCCTGAATGAAGCTGAATTTTCAGCAGCCATAATATAAGCTGATTTGGTGCTCAATAAACACTTATTACTATCAATGCTGAAAACAGTTGTGCTGCTTAATATTTTTATGGAAACTGTCATACATTTTTTATGATACTTAGATAGAAAGTTAAAATAGCATTTATTTGAAATAGAAATGTTTTGCAACATTATAAATGTCTTTACTGTCACTTTTGAATAATTGATGAAATCCTTGCTGAATAAAAATATTAATAAAAAAGTATTATGCAAGCAATGATGCATTTGTACATGTAGTGCAGTGTTGTTTGTTTTGCTGTAAACAGAAAAACTGATTTCAACAGTTTAACCTGCTCTGAGTTTACTTTTTTAAATTATATTTTAAAAATGTAATTTAGTTCTGTGATGGCAAAGCTGAATTTACAGCAGCCAGAATATATGCTGATTTAGTGCTCAAGAAACAGTCAATGTTATAAACAGTTGTGCTGCTTAATATTTTTATGGAATCTGTCATACATTTTTATGATACTTGGATGAATAGAAAGTTCAAAAAGCAGCATTTATTTGAAACAGAAATGTTTTGTAACATTATAAATGTCTTTATTGTCACTTTTGATTAATTTATGAAATCCTTGCTTAATAAAATATTAATTTCTTTAAAAAATATTATGCATTATACTACGCAAGCAATGATGAATTCACTGTGCTTTTTTTTTTGTTAAAACCAGTACATGCGGTGCAGTATTGTTTCTTTTGCTGTAAACGGAAACAAGGATTTAAACATTTTAACCTGCTCTGAGTTTGCTCTTTTAATATATATATAAAAAAATTTAAAAAAGTAATTTAGTCCTGAATGAAGCTGAATTTTCAGCAGCCATAATATAAGCTGATTTGGTGCTCAATAAACACTTATTACTATCAATGCTGAAAACAGTTGTGCTGCTTAATATTTTTATGGAAACTGTCATACATTTTTTATGATACTTAGATAGAAAGTTAAAATAGCATTTATTTGAAATAGAAATGTTTTGCAACATTATAAATGTCTTTACTGTCACTTTTGAATAATTGATGAAATCCTTGCTGAATAAAAATATTAATAAAAAAGTATTATGCAAGCAATGATGCATTTGTACATGTAGTGCAGTGTTGTTTGTTTTGCTGTAAACAGAAACAGGGATTTTGACAGTTTCACCTGCTTTGAGTTTGCTTTTTCTAAAGTTATAATAGTGAGCAGATACGTATCACCATCCAGCAATTTCCAAAGGCGCCGTGTTTTGTTTATGCTCTTTAGGCGTCTGCTTTTAAACCGCATGCACTCTGTGTAGACTGTAATGTATGGGTTGCTGCTAGACAGCAAGGCTGGTGGGAGAAAACTGGATTTAATGTGAATGCGTTTCTATCTACTTGTATTTTTCAGTTGTTGAACACAGCTGTAAATAACCAAGCTGTGTGCGTAAAGAATGTGATTAAGCACTCAGAAGAATAGTGACAGACTTATTTATCTGCAGTGCGTACGTGTCCAGTGAGTCCTTCATGGAACACGGAGATGCATTATGAATGGAGAATTGCACAAACAGTTCCATAATAGGACACAGTGCTGCTTACTATAGCCTGGCAAACATGACATGGATAGAGTCGAGCCTGAGAAAAGTAAACAAGCAATGACGTCAAAAGACCTCACCTTGTCCCCTCTTTTTACTGTCCTGGTAGTCAGCTTGCTAATGGCCTTCTTGGCAGCATCTCCCAGCCGTCGCTATAGTAACAAAGGACAGAGAGGAGACAGTAATTCACATAATTTTAGATTCACAGCTTGACTTAATGAAACAGGAAATTAAAATGACTAAAAGTTGGGGAATAAAAGACTGAACATCAGGAAAAAAATTGCAATTCGCACTCTGTGTAGACTGTAATGTATGGGTTGCTGCTAGACAGCAAGGCTGGTGGGAGAAAACTGGATTTAATGTGAATGCGTTTCTATCTACTTGTATTTTTCAGTTGTTGAACACAGCTGTAAATAACCAAGCTGTGTGCGTAAAGAATGTGATTAAGCACTCAGAAGAATAGTGACAGACTTATTTATCTGCAGTGCGTACGTGTCCAGTGAGTCCTTCATGGAACACGGAGATGCATTATGAATGGAGAATTGCACAAACAGTTCCATAATAGGACACAGTGCTGCTTACTATAGCCTGGCAAACATGACATGGATAGAGTCGAGCCTGAGAAAAGTAAACAAGCAATGACGTCAAAAGACCTCACCTTGTCCCCTCTTTTTACTGTCCTGGTAGTCAGCTTGCTAATGGCCTTCTTGGCAGCATCGCCCAGCCGTCGCTATAGTAACAAAGGACAGAGAGGAGAGAGTAATTCACATAATTTTAGATTCACAGCTTGACTTAATGAAACAGGAAATTAAAATGACTAAAAGTTGGGGAATAAAAGACTGAACATCAGGAAGAAAATTGCAATTCAGATTTTGATAAACAAGGTAGAGCTGAATAATAATGCAGAGGAGAGAGCATTAGCAATATTAATAGTGATAAAAGCAACATATTAGAGTGTCTTATTCAGAATTGTATAAAGCAAATGAGGCTGAGTTAGTGAAAGGCCTGACAGAGAGGGCCATAAATAAAAGACTCTAAGTGCAGCCTGTGATGGGCGGTTCATTGTCTGTGTGTGAGTTTATGAGTGTTTGTTCTGAGATGTCCTCGGTCTTCATTCTGCCAGTTTATTGCTAAATAAACAGCTCAGTGATTTACCGCCGACAGTTTACAAAAAAAGCCAAAGGGGCAACCAGGGCCAAAGGATTTGTGCTAGCTAAACTGTGCTTGTGTGTGCTATATTTGCAAGGGTCTCAAAATGTCCTCTCAAATATAGACACAAATATACTGACTCATGAGGATGTCTTCACAAGTACGGTTCATAAAATGGCCAAATGATGTTTTAATTAAAATCTAAAAATGCCAAAGGGGTTAGGGTCAGTCTGCACTAATTATAATAAGCTTAATTAAAAAACAATAGAAGTCAATGGAAGGTGCAGTATGTGTGTGTGCCAGTGTGTGTAAATGTTTGCGATTACATTTAGGTTAGATGCCACCAAAACACTAAAATGATCTGTTAATCTGCTAAATACTCAATCCATTTAAAATGTTTATGAAAGACGTCTCTTATATTGACCATTTATTTCATTTCTTTGATAATACAGTAAATAGTAATACAGTAAAATACAGCAAATAGTAATATTGTGAAATATTATTAGAATATTTATTAGATCCTTCAGAAATTATTCTAATATCAATCTGGTGTTATTTTAACTAATGGTGGAAACAGTTGTTCTGCTTAATATTTTTGTGGAAACTGTCATACATTTTTAGGATTCTTGGATAAATAGAAAGTTTAAAAGAACAGCATTTATTTTTTTTAACATTATAAATGTTTTTACTGTCACTTTTGAATAATGTATTGCACTCTTGCTGAATCTTTTTTTTTTTTGGAAAAATTATGGTAGCCGATCACTCCAAAATCAGCTAACA